AGAAAATCACTGAAAAAGTAAAATAGAAATTATTGTTTTTTGTTTTAAATATATTTATTTATATAATATTTCGTCTTTAAAAATATTCAGATCTGCTATTTATCGATCTTCTCTTTCTTAGTTTGCTCATAGGTTAACTTAATAAAAAAAATTCAATATAAAATAGCTAAGTTTGGTTATATTATTCGCTTTTTTTATTGATAAAATCAATAAAAATATTATAATGTATTTAAAATGTACTGAATCCATTTTTTATACAATGAATTTTATGAATAATATATTTTAAAATCTAACATTTTCGACCAAACTTTAAAACAAGATAAGAGCCTTTAAATGCTAAATCTTAAAAATTAATAAAGAAAGAAACGATAAAAGATAAAATATGCCTTAACATGAATTAATATACGGATGAAACCTATTAATAATGATGTTTATAATCAATCTAAACATTTTTTACATATTATAATTGAATATAAAAAAATTTACACATAACTCATAAAACTGTCCAAGAATATTTAAAAAATTAAGTATTATAATACTATGATATACAATATCACATATACTTAATGTTTTAATATTAGTTATTAAAGCAACAAGTTCATAATTTGTATTTTTGACATTCTAAAAATAAATTTGTGTTTGTAGTTGCATGAAACTAAATTGTTTTTTATATTTAAAGAAATAAGTATACGTAAAAAAATAATAAAAAACATTTCCATATTAGGACTTTTTTGTGATTTATTAGAGATAAGAAAAATCACAAAAATTTATTCAAGTAAAAAAAGAGAGAAAGAAAAAGGAGAATGTTATACAATAAAAATAACTTTAGTAGTAGTAATAATAGTTTAAGCAATAATATTAGAAGTAATCATATTAGTAGTAATAATATTAGTAGAAATGATATTAGTAGTAATCACTTTAGTAATAATAATAATAAATATAACAACAAAAAAGATTCTAATTTATTAGAATTTTTTTCAAAACCAACTGTGTTCCTTCTTTAAAGGAAAAATACATAAAGTTAATAGAAAAATAAACTAAAATACTATATTCATGAAATTTATAAGGTAAGTCGCTTTAAAAATTATATATTGTTTTTAAATACAGCATTCGCTGGAATTTAAAATTAACTAGTCATAATAAGTTTTTAATTTTATAATAATTGAGAACATATATATTATATTAAATAATTCAAAATAAATCAAAAGTTACATATTATAATGTAATCAACCATATAATACAATATTATAATTTTGAAGAAGCAAGTTAATATATTTTATTACAATTAATGTAATATTGCTTCTCCTTGTTTAAATTTAAAGATTTTTGGCAACGAAATATAAAAAAAATATATTACATACATATAAAGATCCTAGAAGTATAAACATCAGTATTAAATTGTAAAAAAAAACACAAGATATTATTCTATTATTATATCCAATTGTTTTGATTTAAGTTCGACCAATTTTGTTAGTTCATTTAACATATAAATACCCGAAAATTAGTTATTTGCACATTTTACACAGATTTATAACTTGTTACAATTATATAGCTCTTTATAAAATTTTAAGTAAAATTTCTAATATATATTTTAATTAATAGATTGTTTTTTTATGAGTTATGTTCGGATTTGATCCATAATTAAGATTGTTTTTTTTGAATTCTTATAAAAAAGAATTAATAGTTTTAATGAATAGAAAAATATCCAAATATTTTTTATCAACTATCTTACTCTATCTATTTTTTCTATCGCAGACCGTATTTGTTAACAAATTTACTACATATCATATACAAATGATATAGAAGTGTAATACTACAAAACATCAAACATAATTGATCTTTTTAAATTATCATTTTAACACTTTTATTTACTTTTTTTTGCAATAACTGTATGAATATTTAAATTGATTTCTGACAAAATAATATTGAAAAATAGACATTCACTTGAGGTAATGGTAAAATATGTTTTATTATAGGTTAAAATCATCCTATTACTACCGTTTTGTGTTTTTTTTTCTGTGAAATAGTAACTTTCTGGTCATCATAATAAAACTTAATGCCCATAAATACCTAATATGAGATAAAAGAAAATATAGAAAAATTTAAAATTTCGTATCAAGAAAATTTCAGAAAAGTGAATTAGATGTCATTTAAAATATGGGTAAAGTAAAATTTATTTTAATTTTACATCAAGCAAAAATATTCTTAAACATTTTTTGTAATAAAAAAATATTTTTATGTGTAGGCACACTGCTTCTTATCTTTTTTTATTTGTTTTTATATATAATATTTAGCGAAAGATAACCTTTTTTTAAAAACATCAATGTTGTTGGATTTATTATATAATAAAGAACTATGGTTATACCATATAACCTAAAAAATAAAAATATCAATGTTCTAAAACAAATCAAAATGAATAATCGGAATGATTCTCTATAACAATGAAAATTCAAAATTTTTGTTTATTTTATATTCAGAAAAATGAACATGAATCAACCAAAAGTTAATATTTTAAGAATCTTATAAACATAAAACGTTTTTTTCGATACCCAAACACTAAAATAAGCATGTTTGCGTATTTTTTTCTTCTCACTGATGATCCGTTAATTATATCAAAAAAACATTTTAAAAGTGCTAAAAATTTGCATTAACAAAAAGTTTTTATCTCAAAATTGTCATATTTTATCAATTTCTAGTTCCTACGTTTTATTTTATAAACATAAATTACTTTAAGTGGATTATAAACTTACATTTGGGATAAAAATATATTGATATATCAAGGTAAAATTTAGATTTCTAGAATAGTAAAGGCAATAAAATGATTTTTTGAAAATTTAAAATTTCACTTAGTTATTAAATCCAACTGTAGTAAAAGTTTCTACAACAAAATAAAATTGATAAAAAACAAAATGCACATATTTAGTTTTGCAATGATATAATACAGTATGATAGATCTGCTAACAATAAATATATATTTCAAACAAAACTTAATTTAAGTAGATTCAAATTAACTTATTTTTAAACGTTTCATAATTTTTATATAAAATTTCACTGTTGTATTGTATTAAAACTTTTACAGCTTCTACAAAATTTGCATTCAACTTATTAGAACTTGAAAGAAAAGATGTAGTATCTTGCTTGTGAAAAATTAAATTTTTGCGAATATGAAAAAAAATATTAAAAAAATATTTACTTTAAACAGCATTTCAAACATTTATATTCATGAAATAGTAATATATTCGAAATTCTGCAACAATTTTCATATCTATTTTTTATACATAAATGTTTGTAAATATGAAGAAAAACATAAATTCAGTATTTCTATACAATTTTATTTTTAGACCTAACATTTTAATTTAAGAAATGGCATTAAAGTGTCTTATGAACTAATTTGGTGTAATAAAATAAGTAAAAATAATAATAAAATACGAATAAATTTAAAAATTTCTTGTGGAACACACTTTTTTTTTTATTGCAAAAAAATCAAATTGATTGAATCAAATGTAACCAATCTAGGTACATTAATAGCAGAAGTAGGCATGAACTCAATTTTTAGTTGAAAAATTTTAAAAACGAAAAAAATCTAAAGTGATTTTAATATTGTTCAATATATTATAATCATTAAAATAATTGAAGTATCAAAATCTTTTGTGGATCATATTAAAATCGTTCTTTAGTATTAAGAATTAAAGAAAGAAAAAATAAAAAAATTTAAATATATTTATCCATACAAAAAGAGTATTTTTATGTAATTTAATTTTTTTAAAACTAGAAAAAAATATTTGTATTTCTGATATAATTATATTGTGATTTATCTCAGTAATTTTCAAATATTGTTTTTTATGTAAAAAAAATAGAAATTTTAAAATTAAAACCGACTTCTAATGCTTATTCTCGCTTCGAGTCAATCATTAGGACAGAATTGAATTTTTTTGTGAAAAATTAAGTATTAATAGTATGAATTATATATTTTACAGGGCGAAACCTCAAGTTATTATAATACAGTTTAATAATTAAAAAGTACTTTTGTACATCATTAATTTATTTAATGAAAATAGAAGAAGAATATAACGACACAAAGCATTTAAATTTTTTTAGATAAATTGAACTTATGGAATAACAAACCGCCTAAATTTATAATTTCTGATTTTTCAATATTACTATAACAAATTTATTTTCTAAAATGATGCCTGAATATTGGTATCGTTATCTAATGTATTAAAACTTATAAAAATATGTTATTGAATTGATAATTGAATAATAGAAATAATTTAGACTTGATAAAAATTTTATAAAAAAATATATGAAAACATTGGTATCTAACATAATTTCATTAATAAAAAGCTCCATGTAACTGATAAAAAGAAAGTAAACGATATAAAATTGGTACATTCTTTCTAAAATTATTTTGTTAATTTTAAAGATGCACAAATGTATGTTTAAATTTGGGGATTAAAAAAAGTTTTATTCAAAAAAAATTGATATTCGGGTAAATATATAATAAATTAATTGTTTAGTTTGCCAAATTTTTTACATAAATAATCAGCTGTAGTTTCTTTTTTATTATTTTTGATCAACTAATTTTTAATTTGTTCGAGCGAGTTTACATTGGACAACCAATATACACATTGCTGGTTTTATGAATTTTGTATTATTGTACTGTGTTTTCTTAAGGATCTATAAATTTAGTTTTAGCTTTTATTTTTTTCTTCCTTTCTTCCCTTATTCATATTTCTATTTATACTTTTATTTCATAAATTGAATAATCTATCAATTTCAATAGTTAAATTCTTTTTATTAAAAATAAGTGCATATTGATTTAAATTTATTTATTTTTTAGCAAAAGAAATTAAATGTAAATTAATTTTTATTAATATCGTATGTCAACATTCCTTCATTTGAAATTGACATTTTGCACATCTGGCAGATATATTTCGATTAAATTCAAATATAATAGCAGTATAATATGTATATATATTACTTTTCAAATTATCCATGTCACGGTCATATTCAGAAATAAGCACCGGGAACCGTCAGATCTCCGCAATTAAGCTTCTTCAGGCCTTGTGAGTACTCAAGCGAGAGATCAATGGGGAAAGCATGGTGTCGTGATTTTTTGAGGAAAAGTAATTATTGTAATTTATTAGTGATATTTTTTTCTGTTTGATATGTTTTTTTCATCAAATACAATTTTTTGAGCGTGATTTTCATAAATAAGATATATTTTAATGCATAATAATTAAATTTATTGATTTGTATAAATAAATTATTTAAATCATTAACATTAAAAAAATCAAAACATGCAATTTATCTCAAAAATGTACAAATTTATGTATTAAGATATTATTTTTTAAAAAATGTTATCTTTGATATATTTTTAGAGATTCATATAATTTATGTTTTAAAAAACTTCTTTCTGAAATTCTCTTTACAAAAATAGTCTTGTAGATAAAATTTACAACAAATTCTAAAATTTACCCTTTTAAATACTTTTGCATTGCACTATGAAGTAAATTAATTTTTTATTTGTTGTTGTTTTCTAATTCTAATTTAAAAGACGAAATTTGAATTTATGAATATCACGAAATATAATCATTTCTTATATTTATAAAATTAGCATAGAAAAAAATTACAACAAAAAAATAAACTAAAAATATATCAAAAATATTTCAAATAGAATCTATATAAATTCAAGTTTTTGTTTACTTACAGCTCTTTAAAAAAAGTAAAAAGTATAAATTAAACTACAGCTATTTAAATCACACATTATGGCACCTTATAAATCGTTTCTTATCTAATAAATTATTCTTGATTTATATAATATCTATTCATCTTTTTGTCTTTTTTACATGAAATCATTAGAATTTTATTCTTCGATACTCAAATTTCATTAAACATCAATTATTATTAGATCAATTTATACAATTTTTGCACCATTTTTTTAAAAATAGTATCATGATAATACTCTATAATTGTTTTTCTCAAAACATCGTATAATATTAAAAAAATGAATAGATTTTATATTTGTAATTTTCTAAAACTAATTCACAAAGCACACAATTTTTATTCTCTCTTGTGAATTAAGTATTTAATACTCGATTTGGTTTTTGAAAAAAAATAATTCTAAACGTTTTTATTCGTTTTTTCATATTTTTTTTATACATATAACTTTTTTTAGATATATCCATAAATTGCCTTGAATCTTTGTTATTAAATTGGTGTGTATGAGAAAACTATATTTAGATTTTTATTTAGAACCGAAAATTTATATTTAAATCTACATTCGAATTGATTGTAAAAAATATATGTAGAATCTAAGAAAATATAAATTGGTTGAAATGGAAAAACAACATTACGAATAATCAGAAAAATTTTTTAAAAAAAATATTTTGCAAAATCGGCATTTATATTGCTTTGTTTGTAACAATTTACAAATAATAATAATTTAATTAAGAAAACGACTTGTATAATTTATATCAAATTTCAATTTAAAAAGAGTTATAGTAACCATTAAAAAGCCATTTAATTCAATTTTTATATATATTTGCAATGTTTTTAAAAAAAGAAATTACATTTGTTGAAATGCTTATAAAGTATGTGAGATACAATAAAAACACAACTAAAATTTCTACATGCAATTAATGCAACTTTTTATAAACAAAGTGTTTAAAAAAATTTTATAGCTTACACCATTATAATCATATTAAAACAACTGGACATTATTTTGCTTCTATTTTTATAACAAATTGTGATTTAATATTTTTCTCAATATTTTTTTGAAAACACCACACCATATGTTTATTTTGATTCGAAATTAACAAATTACAAATAAATCTTTTATCTGCTAGGGCATTCTAGTTTTTTTAAAGCAACTCAAATCACAATTTTTCTGTTATAAGTTGCTTATACTTTCAATTTTTTATATTATTTGTAGATTTTTTTATGACAAACTTTTTTTAACAAGACTTGTTAATAAAGATGGAATATTAGCTTAAATATAAATATCATACACTTTTTTTAAAATGTTAGATGAAAGCGGATCATATATGCTGAAAACTGAAAATCCAATTGTTTTGAAAATCGTATGTTAAATATTGTGAAAACACTATAATAATTATAATTTTATCCAATAAACTCATCTCATACCTCTAAATTTTATGAAACTAAAAAATAAAAAAATTCAATCAATATTTAATTCTCCGATCGATCTAAAATGTCAATTTTCTTCGCCTTGATATGAAATTATCCAACATATAATTTATAATTAATTGGTTTTCAAATTCTGATCAAGAAATATTACAATTCTAATTATTTTCAGTAAGTTAAATAAATTAATATTTTTAAAATTTACCGATAAATAATCAGATACTTTTTGATGCGATTATTTGCAATAAATTTTGATGACTTTTAAATATTAATAAACGACACACAGTGTATTTTGATAATTAAAAAAATAAATGTTTCATTATCCAAAAAACGGCTTAATAATGTACATCATATAAGATCATAAATAACCAGTGTGATAAAATAGATACCATCATGAAATATTTTATACGAAAATTTTCGTTACATAATAAATATTTAACAATAAATACCTAAAACAAAAACATAAGATTTTTCTACAGCCATTTACCAAGTTAATAAATCATCAAACATATTTCTTTGTTTAGTTTCAAATTAATTAACGTTTATTTCTAGTATTTTAGAATACAGTTTTTAACAAAAAATGTGCTAAAAATTTTTACGAATTATTTAATTAAATTGGCATTAAAGATTTTATTGTTAAAAAAACATATTATATATACAAATTTTTGTTTTCTTAACGTGTCCTGTTGTTGTATTATTTATTTCATAACTTTAACTTAAAATTTTTCAAACAAAAAAAACTCTTTAAAGAATTTATGCGACTGTCCAAAAAAATTGCAGAATATATGTATAAATTGAATATATTACACTTTCAAAGGACAATTTTTTGTTTATTTACATGTTAAAAAGGCCATTTCTTTTTAAAATTGCAATTTTCGTTTAAATAAATCATTAGAATACATTTTATAAATTATTTATCCGAAAAAATATTATTTTCAAAGAAAAGGCTTCCCCTATTGAATTAAAATAAATAATTTTTTAAATTTATATACATTTTTATATGCCTTTTGGGTATTGAACACAAAACCATTTTGATATTTGAAGTATATTAGCGTTTACATTAACAAAAACGGTTAAAATTTACAATAAAATAGGTTGATTTAAGCATTTTTTGTATAATTTACATCGGTACATAGTATAATGAGTAAAATTTATTTAAATTTTCATAAGTTCTTAAGTTTATTTAGAAATTTTTATTTTCTATCAAAATTATTGACCATGCCTATTTAAGGCGAGATGAATTGTAGTTTTTGGTAGGAATAAAAATTGAAAAAATATAATAAAATTCGGATGTCATACCTTACAAAAGCTTAAATGAATAAATGATGAAAATATGTAAAAATCATATTAAAAGTTGTATATGCATCACAAGAATTCATTAAATCATAATAATTGCATTAAAATTTTTTTTCTATTCTGCCATAATAAAAAAATTGAATAAATTTAAATCGAAAAACTAAATAATAAACATGATAACATATTTCTTTATAATAAAAATGAATTTAGTAAGGGCTACAATCATAATTTATCAATGCTGACCGTTGATGCAGTTTTTTAAACTCCAAAGGAGATAAATAGGACATTTAAGGTACAAATTTTTGAATAGTGATTGTTTAGAAGCGGATAAAGTTTGTTTTATATTATAAAAATTCAATAAATTTGCTATTAATAATTGAATACGCAATCAATATTCTAAATTTTTTCAAGTTAATCGTGATTCTCCATGATCATAAAACTAAATATTTTATAAGAGAAATATAAAATTATCTGCAAAATATCAATCTAGCAAATAAAAGTCGATAAACAAATCAAATTTAGTCGCTGCATTCTATAACAGCCAACATGATAATTTTCAGAAACACTTTTATAAACCTAAAAACATTTAATGAATAAAAAAAATTGTAAATGTGTGTAAACAGGATTCTTTATTAATAAGTTTAAAGAAATAAAAAAACAAATTTGAAGAATTTTCGATCAAACACGAAAAAATGTTATGGTAGATGAAAAAGGAATAGCATCAATTAATATAATTTCAGCTTGTAATTTAGTCAGTTTTTCCTGTATCAAGCAAGATTTTTGTAAAAGAATGTAAAACTTGATATTTGTGGGATAAATATATATATTATCTGCCGAAATGTTGTTTTCAATTACTGAAAAATACAAATAAGTCAATGAAGCTTAAAGGCTTTGAAATTATGAATTTTTATTTTTAAGCAGTGTTAAAGCATGGGGTATATATGGAATATTATACATGTAAAAATAATATTGATAATAAAAAATACGTACCAATATTTATTTTTATATATGTAAACTTCTTCAACATACTAATTTGTATTTTTAATTATTTTAAAAATAAGATTCAATATCATTGCAAGCAAAAAATACAGTTTGATGTAAAACGACTATCCCAATATTTTCATTAGTTTACCAAAAATATACAGTTTTCACATAAAAAAACCACGAAAAAATGAAAATCATTTAAAAATTTTTTTTATATTGCGGTATTCCGCGGGCGAATGGTTTGAAATCTAATAAAAGGAATATAAAGACGAGTTGTTTGGTATTGAATTTATTGTATTGTATTGCCGTGGCGGAAAACTGGGTTTGTATCGTCTTCCAGTCTCGCGTCGCAGTCTGTCTTCTTGTCCTGAGAATTGCATGGGGGAACATTCTCAACGTCTTTTATAGTTGCAGGAATATGTCGCAATCTGATTGGTCGGTTCCTTTTCGCAACTACACCCCCTTTCTCCGGTTTCTTTCCAAGACTTAAAACGACTCTGTGCTGATCGTTGGATACAGCAATATATTAGTTACTTTTATCTATTTATTTATCATCATTTGACTATTACTTTCCTATGACAATTTTTTTGCAAATACTGTTATTATAAAAAATTTTCAACCTTTTTTAGTATAAAAATATTACTAAAATTAAATTTATGTCTTATTTTTTTACCATTTTTCTCCATTA